TTGCCAAAAATTATTTCAAATTCGAAATAATGGTGATGTATCTGTTTTATTCTGTGAAAATTTATTATTGTTATATAAAGCATTTCTTGTATTTTTAAGCAAATGAGGAACGTCAAAAATGGGAATAATTTTCTCGCCACCAACATTAAAAGTGGATTTATCTGATGACTGGGAAACTAACTGTCTGATATCTGATCTGTTAGTGAAACCTTGATCACAATCTGTACAAATTATTTTTAGTCCACAAGACTGCAATGCTTAAATTATTTCAAAATTTTTAGGTCCTTTGTTTTTATAACGTATTTTGTGGAATAATACGCGATAGGCTGCTTCCAATGTTTACTAACCACCACCAAAAACACTAGAGCATGATTTGCTATCTCATTTTGTCTGCCCAGGGACCCAAGATCGACATATCCCATTACTTGATCTTTACAAGTGTCATAATTTAGACCAACATACAGAGCTATTTTATCAAATACTAAACAACAAACTTTATCTCTTGTAATCATTTTACTAACACGTTCTGATAATTTACGTAACAACTTTTCATTTATTCCAACATCTAAAGGTATTTGGCCTAAATATTTCCTTATGGAAGATTTAGAGGGCAGCACAAAAGATTTCTGTAAAAACCTGTAGCACCTTGGCCCACGTTTGTAAATTGCTAAAGCAAGTGCTTTATTTTCTGAATTATAGATACCTAGGTCATTTCTTTTCGCAATTTTTAATTTGTGACTCAATAAATTTTACTACTACTGGATCAAGATGCTGACTAAATTTTGTAAATAAATTAGAATAGGTAATACTACGAACATGAGACAAATTACTTTTACATTTTAATAGTTTCCTTTTTAATTTCAAAATCTGAATTTTCTGTTGATGATCTAGATAATACATTTTTTATGTTTATCTGAAAGTTGAGATATTCTCTTAACATTCAAAGTTTTTAAAAATGTTCTTTGTTTATTATTTGACTGAAAATATGTGAGGCTTTTACACAATGAGCTATCAAGTGAGGTACTTACATGACCAGTATTTGATTCCGCTTCATTCAACTTGCTATCAGTAATCTTAGTAATGGCACTGATGCTCGCAGTAGCCCTTATAGGAAATGACAATTTTGAATAGGTATATGTATTTCAGTTTTTTAAAAGGTGGAGGTGAAAAATCATCTGAAATTGAAGTTTGGCAGCTCGTACTCTGAAAATTCTGTAATGTTACGTTAACAAATTGTTTTGTTGAATATTCTATATACTATCCGAGGATTCAGAGGTGATATTATTACAATTAATAGGTGAACTTATAGTCGATCCTAAAACTAATGTCGGCACAGCACTTCTGTTTGAGACTATTCTTATTACTGTTTTTACAACATTTTAACTCAAAATGGTCTTCACAAAAATAATGATGTGTTTGTCAGAGTAAAGTTTGATTTACATAATTTTCGAAATGATTCTATCCAAGTAATTGTCTGTCTTTTGAAATTTTGAAAAAACGTTTATTTCTACAGGATGCATTACACAATTTACACATATTCATCTAGTGTGCTTTTGCAATTTGGAGCACAACATTGACATTTAGTTCTACCAGCTAAACTCATTTTGGATAAAAAAACGAATAAAAATACAGTAAGGCAGTTCATATGATTGATTCAATAAATCCCTTATTACATTAATCTAAAACAAAACAAATTTATTAATGCACAAAACGTGAAAATCTACCTGAATATAAACTATAACCTCAAAGTCCTCAAACATTCTATTTCTGTTGATTGAAAGATTGGAAATACAGATTCGATCTGTGGTTGCAGATTTCTGTATAACAATTTCTATAAAGGGCAATGTTTTGCCACAACGCGAGATGTCCTCAGTGAATGCATGTTCGGTCTGCCCTATCCAATAAAAGCCTCTTATTTAGTTACTCATATGACTAAACCTACTTACAGACCTAAATATAAAGTAAATCTCATAAAAAAAAATATTCATACAAAACTCTGGCTGGGTAAAGTGCAAAGTGGAATGTCGATTTATTCTAACGAACTTCTACATTCAAAGTAGAACCAATATATCTAGATTTCGAGCTATGAAGAGTTTGGTATCAATTGATAACCGCATTGACTCAAGCAATATAACCTGCTTGAATAAATACAGGTAGATTTTCTATAAAAACTATAAAATTTATAAAGAAATTCAATCGTCCTCTCACACTGGATAGATCACATTTTTTCAGTTCTCATGCACATTTTTTAAACCTCAATGATTGCTGCAACTTTTTCGACTATATTACTGCTCTGGACATGACTACATATCTATTCAGGAATGATAACCAGGCATTTGTCACTCAAATGAAAAATTTAACTAATTAGTATGAGATAGTCTACCCAATGATATTACTAATATCAATCATTGGCCAGAATTTAAAGAAAAATTAAAAAATTAAACTATTACTTCCAATGTCACAAATAGTATTGTTTCCAATGCTCCCACCTCAACACAGTTATTTTCTTTGTAATTGTTATATGACTTGGTAATTTACCAATTAATAACACAATAAAAGTTAAAACATTTCATTATGAATCATTTATGACAGTCTTCCTGGTTTCAATTAAACTAATACGACGTCACAATTTATAATCAATAATTGTTACTTGCATCGTACTATAAAATCCTAGCCCATTTCTTTCGACCACAATTTAGCTCGATGAAAGCCAGTAGTATATCAATGTAATTACATATACAGGGTAATTATTATATATTGAAAAATGGTTTATTCTTGAAAACAACTGAAAATATTTAAAACTTTACAACAGTGTTATATTTTCAAAGGCTGTCAATCAAACATAGGATAAAATAAATGTTATTCTGTAACATATAGTATAAATATACAGGGTAATTATTATATCTTGGAAAATGTTTTTTTCTCGAAAACTGAAAATAATTAAAACTTTAAAACAGTGTTATATTTTCAGTAGCAATCAATCAAATGTAATTCTGTAGCATAAAGTATACATATACAAGGGAGTTACTGTATCTTAGAAAATGCTTTTTTCTTGAAAACAACTGAAAATAATTAAAAACTTAAAACACTATTATATTTTCATTGGCTATCAATCAAACGTAGGATAAAATAAATGTAATTCTGTACCACAGTATCCATATAAAAGGTAATTATTATAACTTGAAAAACGCATTTTTCTTGAAAACAACTAAAATAATTAAAACTTTACAACAGTGTCATATTTTCAGAGGCTCTTAATCAAACGTAGGATAAAATAAATTTATATACTCACATCACTAGTGAGGCTACAGCAATTTTTTTCTCAGAAATATACCTCTATTTTGATGCCTCTGAAAAGAACTTTTAGATAAAACTTTTTTCTATTTAATGTTTTTAATACTTAATTGTTTTCGAGATATTAACAGTTGAAAACCATTTTTCAGAAATTTTTGGCCTCAATATAAAAAATGCGGAAAAATTTATTAAATTATTCAAAATGAACGTTTCTTACCGAATTAATAAAATTTATGTGACCATCTAAAATCACGTTGAAGTGATGTTGCACAAATTTTGGGCCACTCTGTAAAAATATTTGTAAACTATCACATAAGGTCGATTAATTTCGTGAAATAACAACTTTTTTTCAGAAATATTTATTTCTCTAATTTTTTTTATACCAATGTTGACAATTTCATGAGTGATTTTCAACACTCAATATCTGAGGAACAGTTGAAAATGCTAAATAGAAAAATTTTTACAAATAACAGTACTTTCCAATGTCATCAAAGAAGGGTCGTTTCTAAGAAAAAATAAATAAAATAAACTGGAACACTACCAGGCAGTGATTAACTAAATTTTTTTTTGTCCTACAATTGAGTGACTCGATCACCTTGTATTTGAAAAGTATTGAGGTTAGTTAAAATGTATAAAATGAGGTCCATTACTTTTTACAAAATTTTTGGTTATTTATTTTCTTTTAAAATGATGAATAAAAATAATTCTCATACTTTATGACCACTTATGCCAAAACCAGTCACCTTTATTATTATGTTTATTTAATTTATAATTTAAAATTTAATTTACAGTTTTCTGTTCTCTGAAGTAATATTATTTAATATTCTCATATCATCGAAAATTTTTTCCTCAAATATACCTTCAGACAATGGCGGCTCGTTGTATGAAGCAACTGAGGCCGGGCCTCACATTAAAATGTGGCTCTCACATCGTATATTTTAATACATACTATTTTACTATTAACCTAAATAAACAGTTAGGTAAACTATTTCCAATTACCCATTACATTTATCAAAAATCAAAATAATAGTACAGATTTCTATCAAATATATGCTAATACCTGTTAAACAAGCTACATTATATGTCACAAAAGTTATATTTGTTACATTTACGATTATATTTGAGAGTGAATCAGTTTTTCACTGTTTTGACCCTTTTGTAGGCCCTATCGCGTCCAAAATTTAGCATTTGGAGCTTGATCAGTGATAAAAAAGGGACAACATATCAATTTTTCAGGAAATTTCACAGAAAGACCAATTTCCATATGGTGTGTGTGTCCTTTGCAAATTTAAAAGACGGACGAATAAACCTGTTTTATAAAAACATTGACTAAAATATTTTGTTAAAATTGGAGGCAAACAGCTAGCAGCGTTGCTTTATATGTAAATGCTGGCTGCCTTATGAAAATTTGTTTTTATATTTTTTTCATATTTTTTAATATCAAGTAGGAACATTTTTTTTTAATTATTAGGTAAATGTTTTTTTTTTAATTTAATTTTATTGTAAATAAAATTTTTTAAGTTGATATTATTAGTAATAATATAATTTTTTAATTTACGGTTATAGTAGTAGGGCCATTGGAGAAGACCTCGATAATAAAAAATGACGGAAATTTATTCCTATTTATTATTTGAGAGCAGATTATTAAAATAACTAAATAGTTGCCTATAATTTTTTATAAAATCTGAATGAAAATCTTGCTCGTGAACATCAGTTTTTCAATTATAACATAAATGCAACTAAAAATTTATTTTTTTTATTTCTTGCGCACCTAGTTAAAAAGCCACCGGCCTCACCTAATCACAATGTCAGGAGCCGCCACTGCCTTCAGATCTAAGTCCTAGGCAGAGAATTCATGACATAAAAATATCAAATAAATGAGATTAACCTAACTTAAACTAACCCATCACAGAATCACCTGTTTGATGCCGATAACAATAGTCACGGCCAGGTAAAGATGTCAGCTTACAAGGAGTTCCCATCCTAGTTTTAGCATGACATGAACCTTTCAAACTAGTATTTAAACGCAGAGGAGTATTACTTCTACTTCTAGATCTAACAGAATAATGCCCATTTCTGGACACTGGTGGAGTTAAAGAGTGGAAATCTTCATTAAAATTATCTGCGACTTCATTTCTATAATCTAAGTCATCTTCCTCCCTATTAATTAGTTTAGAATGGCTGGAATTAAGGTGATATGACAGTTGAGTTTGACTGCCATTAGTAGAACTGACAAATCCTTTCGGCGAATAATTTGTAATATTCTCTTTAAATGTTGTATTTTTTTTAGTAATCCACTGTAATGCTTGTTTTGGTCCAGATTTTAAAGATAATGCAGACAGTAACACTGCTTGACCTAAAAATAAAATATTTTTCGTCACAATATTTATAAAATACTGAATTTTTGTATAACTACAAAAAAAATTTAAAACTTTCACTTACTAACAATAAAACATCCTATAAAGCCCATAAGTGAAACAAAGTCCAGGTGACATTCTCCATATAAAGCGAGGGCTAAATTAAGAGGTGGTAAAGTTGCTACAATCAAACGAGTGCTTGTTCTTGCAGTTAAAAATGCGCAAGCTAGCATCGCTATCAACATAAATGCAGAATGCCATAAAATTAGATACAAACGTTCCACTGTTAAATCTGTTCCACCTAAAGCTGTCGTAATCCAAGTCAATCGTTCTTCTAATGCCTTTCGAGTTCCTCCAACTAAAGCTACTAAACTATGAACCGTTTCATTAACTTCTTGCAAATTTTTCAAGGTCGACTCGTACTGAGCTTTAAAATCCTCATTCTGTCTTAATAACATAAGCGAAGATTGTTCTAAAAATTTAGATATTTAACAAAACATGTATTATATATATTCAGTGTTTCAGAATAACAGTATAAATTCTAAAAAAAATTAGTTTTATTTTATATGAACTGTACCTAATCTATTGTCCACTTTACAGTCAAAGAAATTGATACAATTTTTGACCTTAATTGTATAATATATATTATATATAATAACTGGCTCTAATTTTCCTACAATTTTTTTATGAATTTGGTTTATATGTTGATTTAAAAATATAATGCCAACTGTGTTTATGATAAAAACCATTAAATATGGTTTAAGTTGGTCTTGATTCTCTTGAAATTATTATTGGGCTGTATAATACACTTGTTAATATTTTCAATAAATTTCTCAATCTCTTCATGAATTAATTCATGAATTTCAGTGACTGTATAAAACTGTCAAATCATCTTTTTTTTTTAAGATACAGGACAATATTTGAAATATTGTAGACATATACAGGGTGTATCATTATTAACAGCACAGATTGAAACATCCGTAAGTACACGATATTAGAAGCAAAAAAAAAAGTCGTAGTAAAGATGGGTCCACAAATGAGCCATTTGCGAAACAATTTGAAATTTGTGGTCATCACCCACCACTAACTTGATTGTGTGTAAAGGTCATCCTTGTTAGGAAAAGGTGTCAATACAATAATAAGAAAAGTTATTTGGTAGAAGTGCAGTTGTTTTTAATGAAATGATTACAGTTACATGTTTATTTATTTATTTATTTAAGTTACACCACCGGACAGTTAAACCAATTACTTAATGTGTGGGAGAAATAGCTAATAAAAGTACACACATTAACAAAATCAGATATCAATAAAGTACAAAAGTAAAAAAAGACCGTTAACAATAATATAAATTATAAAAGTTAAAAAAAATTATAAAAAATAATCAGTAAGTATATACAGGCTGTTACAAATTCACTTCTCACCACAGGGATCTCGGAAATGGTACGAAAGTAGCTTAAATGGGGACAATGTTGCATAATCATGGGACCAACCATTATGCCTCTTAAAAATCAAAGCTAACATGATTAGTTTTCAAAATATTTGAAAAAAAACGAAATTTTTTAAATGGTATTCTACTGTCAAAACCCTTAAATATGGGATTAACTTATTTATTTAATCAATTCTTTCAATCTTATCTATCTCACAGGAAATTGACAGTGGAGTATTGTGGCTTCCTATCAATGGATATTAATGCTTCATCTGGAGTCCCACAAGAGTCAGTCCTCGGTCCGTTATTGTTTCTGATTTTCATTAATAACATTACGTTGAACCTAATTGTAGCGCCATTCTGTACACCGACGACCTTAAGTTGTATTTATCAGAGGGTGATTTGAATGACTGTCTTTGGCTTTAATCTGATGTAGATAGTTAGTAATAGGCATGATGAGAGATTTTGTAAAACTGTTCTATTATGTTAGGAAGTATTTACTATTTCCAAAAAACATTTTATTTCTGTAGAAAATAAAAGGTTTAGTAGAAAAATAGTCTCAACTCACGCAAAAACGGTAGCCGGTGTCATAGCGTCTACATGATGTCACATCTATGTTTGTCAACAGTAAATATAAGGTGCTAATATTTTGTGTTGCAAGTTGCAAGATTCATTAATTAAATAAAAATACAATGTTACTATAATAGTATATGTATTTTATTTACCCTCAAATTGTACTTTGGTATAATAATGGATACACATTATCTTTCCATGAAGAGACTAAAACATTAAGAAAATCTGATAATAGTTGTCATCAAATGTAACATTAGTTATTTCTATTTTTAATTTGTTGTGCTTGCAGTCAGCTACATCGAAATAGCCCTTTTGAAGTCCTGTTAAATACATTTGTAGCTGCTGTCTGCACTTAAAACTTTTAGGTCGGTTTTCCTTTTTCCACATGATTTTTAAAAGTCTTCATATTTGTGGTACATTTAATTTCAATAATACTGTATTCACAGATTCCATCAGGTGATCCTGCTATCATGGGATAGTTTTTGCAAAGCATTATACATTTTTTAAATTTTTTTCCCAAACTGGTATTTACAGTTTTCGTCACTTCATCCTCCAACATTCTATCGCGTTTCATGGCCGATGCGTCTGAGATTTTTCCTCCCATTATTAACGTGATCAGAGTTGCATCATTGGTTTTACACCCACTAAATTCAAATGCTCATGAGGCCGTCACTTTGTCATATCTTAACTTATGCCAAAAACAGCTTTTATTTGATCTCGTCTCTTCTTCAACTTTCATGTCATCTTCATCAGTCAGTAAGAGTTTTTTCAAAAATGTACCGCAGGACTGTTCTTTGTATTTCAGCACCAATTTATGCATGGATAAACTTTTGATCACAAACTTAGTCTTTTGGATATTTTATTAACTCGCAGTTGTTGAGATTTATTTTCTTTTCTTCTTTTAGAAACTTTTCCAGTACCAAACTTTTCCTGATTATGGTTTTGGTAACACAAAACTAGGCAACTAATAATTGGGAAACACAAAATATTTAAATGAAGATAAATACTGCGGATATTGTCGAAGTACAAACGACACAAAATGACATTTACATAGATGTGACGTAATTCGCTCTGATTGGTGTTCAACCTATCATGGCGGTTTGCTGTATTTTGTAGTTTTATTTTATCATAATATAAAAATTAAAAATAAATACATTTCTTATAATCCATGAATTTCATTAGATAAATACTTAATTTTAGTGATTCTTGGTTACTGTCATCATGCCTATTGGTGTGCTACGAATTTATTACCATTAAACTTCTTCCATGATTTTCACTAGAAAGTCTAGCCGGTAACACATAATTATTCTGTTGGTAATAACTTGATTAGGAAATGTAGCTCTTTTGAGGATCTTGGTGTAATATTTTATGTTAAACTAGATTTTAATGAACACGTTAATAATATTCAATGCGAGGCATATAGAAATCTTGGCTTCATTTTGAGGAATTTGCAACAATTTACAGGGATTAAGGCAGTGTCAAACGGCAAACTGGAATATACCTCTCTAGTATGGAATTCACATTATATAGTTTGCAGTAAAAGACTTGAAAACATTCAACAGAAATATGTAAAGTACTTATGGTTCAAGTCTGATGGCTGTTATCTACCCCAGGGAATACCTCATGATACTTTGCTTAGATGATTTGTCCTTAATGACCTGGCTTCACGTATGTGTAACTCACTAATAACCCTGTATAAAATCATTACAGGATTGATCGATTGCCCGGATCTTCTAGCTGCCTTGTGTTTTCGTGTTTCCCCCTCTAGAACCCGGTCTTCGTCTTTGTTATACCTTCCCACACCTCGAAGGAATTTATTAATAAGTTTTCTCCGTTATATACAATGATTGTAGATATTTTTCATGATGATGGTATTGTACGCATGTTCTACGGTAGGGTAAAATGGAACATTACAGTAATGAGAATTATGCGGATATGCATTTCATATATGGTAGGGTTAACGGCAATGCATGAGAGGTTGCATACTTGTACCGAGAAGCTTACCATGCTCGAAGGTACACTGAGAGTTGTTTACATCAAGTCAGTGGTGGCTGGAAATTATAAATTCTAAATTATCTCACAAACGACTAGTTTGCAGACCCATGATTACTATTTATTTTTTTACTCATTTGCTTTAATATAACTTTTGGTTATACAGGATGCCGAAAATTAGTAGGTCAATCCGTTAACCATAGATAGCTGATATGAAAATAATGGGACTTTCATTATGCCACTTTTCAATTAGGAGCCCCATTTTTGAAATACAGGGTGTCAAAATGTAAATTTCAAAAACGAAATTTGTCGATAACTCCGGTGGAATTAGAGATATTTGTTTGAAATTTCGCTAATATTTTTTTCTTATAGAGACACACTTTCAGTATACTTTTGGTAAAAAAAATCAAAGCACGAGCGGAGGTGAGGGGGTTAAAGTGCATTATGACCCCCCCAACTTTTTCATACGCACGCCTATGGTAAAAACATATATTTTCTTACATAAAGCGGCTTTTATTCTAACTTTTCTTATTCTTGCAAGATTTTGATTTGGAGCCTGTGTTACCAGATATTGTAACTTATTTGGACGTATAGTATGGATTTGGTAACTAGTGTATCCAAAATTAATTTTAATTCGATGTTATTGGGCTATATTCCGAGAGAACACATTACTTTCTTATTTTATAAAAAGTAGTGATTGTTCTTGTGCTGTTACAAGAGAAATAAGACGAAAAAAATCAATGTTTTGGTAACGGTATTAATAATGAGTGTGATATAATTTCTTCTTTTTTCTTTCTTTTGTATACATAAAAAAGTATTTTTTATATCCTATACGGTCCTGTTTTTATTTTTTTATAGTACATCATATAAAAAAGTTAAAGGGGTGGGACAATATAAATGATCGCCTGGTACAATTCGTTTAAACAATGAAGCATGCNTCGGCATTCAAACGGGGGGGTAAAAAAAACGGTCCCAAAAGAAAATTATCAATTATTCCTGCCCATACGTTTACTTTAAAACTTACTTGATGATGTGCCTCTACAATGAATTTCGGATTTTCAGCAGCCCATGTATGAGTATTATGAATATTCGTTACTCCGTTACGAGTAAACGTGGCCTCATCGGAAAATAAAATAAATTTACTAAAATTAATATTATCATTATTTTCTTGGCATATCCAATTACAGAAAGTGGCTCTTGCTTCTGAATCTAAAGGTAGAAGTGTCTGCACTTTTTGTACATGATATGGGTACAGTAATTGCTGTTTAAAGACACGTCGCACATCATCTGACTTAATATTATTATTGCCACCATTATTAATTTGATTAGCTAGTATCCTCGTACTTATACTCGGAGTTTCTTCGACAATTTGCAAGATTTGCTCCTCTTCGTTTGGACGTAATTTGAGTTGCCGTCCACATTGGCCCGTCCTCCTATGCTTAAAGTTGCCAGATTCTTTCAGACGGTTGACTAAGCTTAAGAAAAATCTCCTTTTTGGATGGTGCCTGGTTGGAAATTTGTCCGCATAACGCCTAGCAGCTAAACTAGCATTAGAGTTACATTTTCCTAAAAGTAAGAGAAATTAATTTGTTTAGGTTCGAGATTACAATTAACACTTATTAAGAAAAAATCCTATTCCTTTTAATAAGTACTTACCCATTATTAAAATCATATCGTCATTTCAGAAAATGATAGCAAACCTTCACTGTTCGCCATTTCTTATTGAACACTTCAATTAAAAAAATGTGTAAACAAAGTTTTTTCTATTTAACTTATAAATTATTTTGACAACCAAACGTACCTAACTATCTGACTTTGTTTTATTGGAAATATTTAAGAATATTTTTCTTGTGGCATGCTTCATTGTTTAAACGAATTGTACCAGGCGATCATTTATAATGTCCCACCCCTTTAACTTTTTTATTCGATGTACTATAAAAAAATAAAAACAGGACCGTATAGGATATAAAAAATACTTTTTTATGTATACAAAAGAAGGAAAAAATAAGAAAGTATACCACACTCATTATCAATACCGTTACCAAAACATTGATTTTTTCAGCTTATTTCTCTTGTAACAGCACAAGAACAATCATTACTTTTTATAAAATAAGAAAGTAATGTGTTTTCCTCTCGGAATATAGCCCAATAACATCGAATTAAAATTAATTTTGGATACACTAGTTACCAAATCCATACTATCCGTCCAAATAAGTTACAATATCTGGTAACCCAGGCTCCAAATCAAAATCTTGCAAGAATAAGAAAAGTTAGAATAAAAGCCGCTTTATCTAAGAAAATATATGTTTTTACCATAGGTGTGTGTATGAAAAAGTTGGGGGGGGAGTCATAATGCACTTTAACCCCCTCACCTCCGCTCGTGCTTTGATTTTTTTTACCAAAAGTATACTGAAAGTGTGTCTCTACAAGAAAAAATATTAGCGAAATTTCAAACAAATATCTCTAATTCTACCGGAGTTATCGACAAATTTCGTTTTTGAAATTTACATTTTGACACCCTGTATTTCAAAAATGGGGCTCCTAAATGAAAAGTGGCATAATGAAAGTCCCATTATTTTCATATCAGCTATCTATGGTTAACGGATTGACCTACTAATTTTCGGCACCCTGTATACTAACCTATTTTTTTAAATACTTCTTGCACTTTCTCTTGAATTTCCAAAACATCTTCTATCAACTCCTTATGATTCAATTTACTTTCTTGGCCATGCTGATCCAGCTGCTGCAGCGAATATCCCAATTTATTTTGCATGTTTTGAGTCATTTGAATTAACTCTTTATGAGTATCAGAAATTAAACGCTTCTCATCTATTAACCGTCTAATATTATTCTCTAAAGCAAGTTGTCCATGAAACTGAGCACTTTGTATATGTTTTTGTTGTTCGAATAAATGTTCATGACCTTTATTCAAAGTTTCATAAGTAGTTTCAGCTAAATTCCTCAAATTCTCTTGGCTATTAGTAATTTTCCCTAGAGTCCTTAATTGATCTTTTGCTGCATCCATTAAACGGTTTACTGTATATTCAGCAAGACCACGAAACTGACTCTGACGAATAGTATAGCAAACTGCTCTAGCTCTATTGCTCATTAAATGGTAACTAGTCCAAGTATCTGAATCCATACTAGTTGTACAATCTTTTATACTCATTTCTTCTGTACAGGAATATATCTGTCGTCCTTCAACAAATGACTGGCAATTTAACAAATGTACGGCCATTTTTGCCAACTGTTCATCATTCATCTTATCGCAATCAGACTTTAATTTTAAAACAACCTATAACATATTTTGTAATTTTAAGTAAAACGGAAAACAAAATAGGAAAAGGGTTAGTTTTACATTTTACAACAAAAATAATCATTACAAACTAGCTATGAAGATAATAGTTATTATTCAAATATTACTTGAAAACATGTTTTTAGTAGCACGTTTTTCTATCTTTTAAATTAGTTTCAAACTAAAATTTCCCTACAGTACCTAGTAATAATATCTGGAAAAGAAATGATTTCCATTTCCAAATGTACATTTCTAAATTCGTATATGAAGTTACGGTAATTATTATTTACTATAGCTTTACCCTCCTAAATCTTCACAGAATTTTGTCTACCCCCCTATTTTCGCTAGTGCTGAACACGAATCTGAAGTATTTTTGTGCGGTCAAACCGTTTTCGAGAAAATTTTTTTTCAAAATTCTAACCTGGATATTTCACATAACACTACAAAGGACCCCGTATATTTTAGATAGCTTTCAGAACATTTGTTATGAACAATTACTTAACATTGTTTACGAAACACATTTTCATAACACAGGTTCCTCTTCAGCAATATCGAAAATAGGGGGGTAGGCAAAATTTTGTGAAGATTTGGGAGGGCGACACTATAGTATATAATTACCGAAGTTACTTTTTTTGTCTGTATTTCCTACTGTAAAGCCAATATAAGCACATCTTTTTCAAATCGACATTACCTTCTTGTAATAAGCCAAATGTGTTTTTATTTTAGTTACAATATAATCAATTACTGTTTAATTAGTTATCACTATGTTTATCAAATAGAATTAAGAAAATATATAGATTATAGGATACCCTTTGCTGGCATGAATCCAATTCCGTTAAAGCTACTCCTGTAAGTTTAGCAGCTTCGTTCAAAAACTTCTCATCGACTGTAGAAACTTCGTATGGAATTTTATTGTAAAATTCTCCACCGTCATCTTTATTTTCATTAGGATGCAACCCAAAATAACTTCCAACGCTACTTATGTAATCACTAAAACCAGCTTCAATTGTGGGCAGATGAATAAAATACAAAATAGAAATGAACAGGAAATTCAGTTTCATCATTTCGTTATTTAATTTCAACTGTTTTCTACACTCTACATACAGCGCAGCTGATTTTCAAATTTTTATGGTGATCTTGTACTATTGGTTAGAAAACCGTTATATCCTGTAACCAACATTAAGAAAATAATATGAAACGTTTTGTACCATA